GCACGGAACGCTGTTACCTTCCCACCAAAGTGGTACCTATTTATCTACTTGCAATGTCTTGCTTTCGAACTGCTAGGTTGGCAGGAGCTGGAACTAGAGACAGGAGCTCACCCCGTCTTGCGGCACCCGGGTCTTGAACTGCTGAACTATTGACCTTCCACAGCCTGCAGTTCAGCGTCTTAACCACTTGAGCCACCGCAGCTCCTTTTAGTCCGTCCCAAAAACAATCCTATTGGTTGCATGTGGGAAGGGGAGGCTACCTAAGAGAGGTGGCCAATATTGTAACCTAAAACCTTACTCGAAGTTTGGCATCTGGACAGGTGTGAAATCTAGGCAACAGGATGCTTCATTGTAGTGCTGATGAAGCTGGCCAGTTCTATTGATAACCAAATGTCCATATGGCAGGAAATTCCAGCTCAGGAACAAAGCAGGTGATGGGTAGTAGGTGACTACAAGCAGCTCTGTCATGGGGGCTGTCTCTTCCTAGAGTGGTTGTTTAATTGCTCACAATAATGGAGGTTTGTGCTTCTTCACCAGGCTGGGAAACCTTATTTACATGTAAGGTATGTGCAGGCACCCTGTATGTGTGGCATCACAACAGGTGACCTAAAGTGTACAGCTTTCTGAGCCTATGTATGTGTGCACAGTCCATTGTGTGTAGCAATAAATAGTTCATAAATATCAAGCTTATTCTCTAACACCAGCCCAGATCCCAATAGTCAGTGAAAATGAAAGGCAGCTTGGGTGGCTAGAGGTAACAAGTTATCAGTAGGTAATCAAAGTGCACTTATAAACTCGTGGCAAGCTGGTCACCTATAGCAATTGCCCACTGCAGGAAGAAAATCTTACATGGCCCAACAAGCACAAACATAACTTCTATCCGGGAAGAAGGGCATGATTTCTAACCCAAGGCCATAAGATAAAATGACCCAATTCATTGCTTATGCAAACTATAGAACTTTATTTTCTCACAATGAGCTAAGAACAAAAGGCCCAGAAGCAAAATGTATTGTATGCAGATGCCCCACATTTGGTAGTGAACTTCAGCACTCTTAAATCTAAAATCCTGGTTTGCCCGGCTGGACCTTGATCAAAATTTTCCTTTGTTTAAATCATTTTTACGCTGCCCTTACACCTGATCAGGGTCTCCCAAGGCAGTACACATAAAAACATTTGAAATTATAAACTCATCCAATAAAAACTTAATGCCAGACCCAGGGAGGAGAGCCACCTTGTTTCCATTTAGTTCCTAACAAATAAACACTTCACACTTTTGCTAAAGACATTTTGACATATGAGGCTGAAAGTAGTTCTCGTTTCAGTCGGCTTCTGTGTGATTTACATGCATGTAATGAGGAGGGCTCTGACCCACAAAGAATACTGCCGTGACTTTTTGGCTAACACAGCTACAACAATGGAATTGGCTTGTAATATGAATGGAATACCTGTTCTGCCTCAGTGTGGAAGAGAACGTGAATGAGTGCTAACAGACATTTTCTATTGAGCTTCATTCATTCTATGAAGCTGTAGCTGTTCTGAAAGCCAAGCTATGCCCAGTATCTCTTCTTCCACAAAGGACTTGAGTAACATCCTTTTAATTTCAAATGCATCAACACAAATGCTGATGAGCAGCCGGTGCAGCAACGGCAAGAAAATCAATTTTTAGAATAAGTGGTAGGTTTAACCAATGTATGGTTCATGTAAATTACAGTAGCTACAGAAACTAATATAACTTCTGAAAGCAGCATAAAATGCTTTGAGTAGTATCCAAAGAACTGCTTGTGGAATGGAAATTTCCTACCTCCCCGTGGACCCCTGAGTTTGCCAGATTGATTGGGGCAGCATTGGGTGCTGGGATGGTCTGTAGAAGGAAGGGAATTGACAAAAGTTGCTTATCCTCTGCTGGTGGAAAAGTTCTTCTGCTTTGGAAAATGGGCACTTGATCCAATGTAATGCGGTGTTCTCTAACACAGTGCCTGTCACAGTGTCCCCAGGTGCCCACTTGCTGCTTGAGTCTCAGGGACAAAGTCCAAAGGATGGACAAGGGGTGGGGGAGGAGCTTTGGATCACTCCTTACCATTGGATTGACCAGGCTCATCCCTGGCCAGCGTCTCATGCATCCTCAGCATAAGCAAAGGCACAGACCTCCTTTATATTGTATAATTTGCATTAGAAACTATCAGCTGGGGCCAACAGGCCACAAATACTTCCCTTCTTTAGAGACTGAGGGCAATTCTGCATTGGTTTCCCCCTCTGTTGTTTCACGAAACCCACGTTGGAACAGACATTCCCCTTTGCATTGCGTGCTGCTTTTGCTTTCTTTGATCATCGGATTTTATGGTACGCCCCACACTGCACGCCGCTTTCGTTTCCCTTGATCATCGGATTTTATGGTATGCCCCACACTGCATGCTGCTTTCGCTTTCTTTGATCATCGGGTTTTAGGGTACCTTCTGCAAAGATTTATGGTTGTTCGGTGTGACTTTGCAGTCATTTCCCCGAGGTATTTGAATGTGGTTTTGAGCTGCACC